TTAATTAAATTAATTAATTAATTAATTAATTAATTAATTAATTAATTAATTAATTAATTTAATTAATTAAATTTGCTGCTGCTCTCAGGAATTTGCTGCAACAAAAGCCTCGCCAAAGCAGCAGCAAAAGAGCACAAGCCGCAGCAGCAAACTTTGCTGCTGACGGAAAACAAGAAGCAATTTTTGCTTAACAAACGCCTCATACAACTCTCCGGAATCGGTCTGCTGCTGCTGCTGCTGCTGCTGCTGCTGCAGTGCTGCTGCTGCTGCAGTGCTGCTGCTGCTGCAGTGCTGCTGCTGCTGCAGTGCTGCTGCTGCTGCTGCTGCTGCAGTGCTGCTGCTGCTTCAGTGCTGCTGCTGCTGCAGTGCTGCTGCTGCTGCAGTGCTGCTGCTGCTGCTGGTGTTTGCTCTTGGCGCTGCTGTAGCTGCTGCTGCTTCTCGCTGTCTCTTGCTGCTGCTGCTGCTGCGGCTATTTTTATTGCTGCTGCTGCGTTAACGCTTTCTGTGGCCGTTCTCCCCATGACTGCTGCTGCTGCTGTGGCTGCTGCTGTTGCTGCTGCGTTTGCTGTTGGCGCTGCTGTTACTGCTGCTGCTGCTGCTGCTGCTGCTGCTGCTGCTGCTGCTGCTGTTAGCCTCCCTCTGGAACTCAGCTGGTTGTATATGCCTCTTTACGCGCATAAGCAAGTGTGCCGTCGTTTCTACTGCTGCTGCTGCGTCTGCTGCTGCTGCTGCTGCTGCTGCTGCTGCTGCTGCTGCTGCTGCTGCTGCTGCTGCTGCTGCTGCTGTTTGCAGGAGCAGCAACGGCGCGTTTGCTGGCAGCAGCTAATGTTGAGAGCAGCAAAGACTTGCTGTCTCTTTCTCCCCACGCGCTCGCGTGTCTGCTGTCTCCCCACGGGGCCCGCAGCCCCCCGAACCAGCAGCAGCAGCAGCAGCAGCAGCAGCAGCAGCAGCAGCAGGGCGCGTGGGGTGTACGTACACCGGCGCGAGCAGCAGCGCATGCAGCGCGGCTGCGGCTGCTGTGTCTCGGAGAAGAAAAGGAAGAAGTTGAGGAGACACCTGAAGTGCTGCAGACTTTAACAGCAGAAAACTCTTTTAATCTTTTTCCAATTTTTTCTTTTTTGCAATTAAAAAAAGAAATCCAAAAACTCATTTCCAGAATCCTCCAAAGACACAAAGACACCCTCCAGCCCAAGGGCCTCGTTGCTTCCTCCTTCAGGCTTTCAGTTGGGTCCGCACTTGCTGCTGCTGCTGCTGCTGCTGCTGCTGCTGCTGCTGCTGCTGCTGCTGCTGCTGCTGC